AACCCAGATCACCCTACTGCTTCGTAAGTCGGGGCCTGCAAGTGTCTCTGTTGAGTGCCATATGCCAGCTGGTGAGTCACAGAGCAAGAGAGCACAGACTTGGGAGAGTTGAGTTTGGTCTCCGTCCAGCCCCATGGCTGCTGGTATAGACCTGCTGCATGAGCTATTTCTAATGGCTTCTGTAAATCAAAGTGCCCAATGCAGCTGGGACTTATTTTCTTCTGACTGAGAGGCAGTACCTGCTCATCCTTAGTTGTGTCTTTGTTAGGTGTGCACGAACCTACTATTCACTTTCATCTCACTCACCCTGTCATCCCTACTGGCAAGCTCCTCACCTCTGACCTAAGCAGCACACTGACCACCACATGCTGCTGTTTCTGTTTTGAACACAACATAATCCTATGTATTTTTGGGATGTAGTGATAGTGAGCTGAGTCAGGCTGTGATAGAAACCTCTGGAAAAAAAGCTGAGGCCCAAGCAGCACCTTGATGTGGAAAGGGAAGTGGTCTCTTCTGGAGGTTTGCTCAAGATGACAGAGGAACCACCTTGAGCTAAGCCAGAAACTTAGGAATCATCAAATCCTTGTATTTTGCAGCAGCACTGTTAGCACTGGGTCCTGGAGTATTCACTTGGGGCCACCCAGAAAGGCCACCCTCATTCTTCTGTCTGTTCCCTGAAGCAGGAAAAGAGCAGTGGAGGCTTACGAAGAGTTCCTTCCAGTTGGGCTGTTCTCCCAGCCCTTTTGCCTGGAGGTAAGCTGACAGAATGAATTGGATTTCTCTCTCCCCATAGAGCAATGAGAAGACGTCTGTACTGTGCCTTTGTCTGCAAGCTCACAAACTGCTGCTTTTTGCAGCGTTTATTTTTTCACTTTTTTTTTTTTGTAGATCTGTACAGTTTCTTCAGCCATCTTAAGGTGGATGCCATGTAGGAGTCAGGGATTCACATGAAACAATAACAAAAGAACAAGCAGCTCTAATAGTGAAGAATTTTGGCTAACTCATCTATTAAACCAAATGCCCAGCTCCTAATCCTGTTTTTCTATCTTTCACCTTTCAGTGTCTTGTTTTATCTGAGGTGAGATGATGATGACTGAAACCAAAGCCATTCAGAAAGACACAGCAAGAACCCTCACCGTTAAAGGCTTATATGGGGCATCCAAGTTTGTAGATGGCAGAGATCTGTAGAAATAGTAATCTGATCAGAAAAGCCAGCCTCCAAACAGCCAGCATCTCCTCCAGCTGAGAGTTCTGATCATCTCTTCTTCCTTCATGTTATGTATGCAGACTCTGTGAATTGAAATCATATGCATTTCTGAAATCTCTGTGTGCTTCTCTGCTATTGCATTACCTATTCTGAGAAAACCTGTGTCACTGTCTGTTGAACCCAGCCCCACCTTGCGGACAGCCGCCAGCAAACTCCAAAAGTGTAACCAGAGAGATAATAATGGGGTATGCCTGGAGCTCTGTGACTGCCACATCTAGCACATCAGGATTTGCAGGCAAGGTTCTGATGGCTCTTGCACTTTCTCAGTAGTGTTACAGCAGCAGGAGGCAGTGCTTAAGAAGCCAAGGAGCTGCACTGACCACCCTCAAATTTGCACAACATCTTCAGCCTTGTGGATGGGGAAGAACTGGGGGCCCTGCAGAAGCCTTGCAAGGAAAGAGGTGTGGAGCCTGTGCAGTGCTGCATTGTGTTATCTGTTATCTGCAATGTGCTGTATCCTTTCTGAAGCGTAATGCATCTTGGCAGACAGCTCTCAGGTCGGTGCTAAACCACCCTTTGTAGCTCAGCACTCCTCTTTCTCTGCTTACCTAGAGCTTTGCTGCAGCTTGGAATTTTTTCTTTATGTATGATAAGGGTACAAGGATCAATAATTCTTCACCACATCATAGATATCTCATGAAAAGCCATTCTCTGCTTTGCGTTACCTTAATTTGTGAGATAATGCAGATAATGAGATGTCTGAGCTGACAGAATAGACAACCCATATTTCCCCTTCAGCAGCAGATGGTGTCAGTATGGAGTAGGTTAAGAATTTTGACATTTGCAATCAAAATGGCTGTTGAATCTAGAGTCATGGTACTTCTTGCATGCCTCCCTGCCTTGCGCTGCCATGACACAGTTTTCCAGACAGAGATTGTTGCTGGATGATGCTATGTATGCTATTATGTGCATAGGATTAAGCAGGTTTCAGCACTCTATGAGCTTCTGCTATGGTAATTAAGAAAAATGAACTGATTGGGCTAAAAGTGTCTGGATGCAAACTGTGTATCCCTCCTTCTGAAACCCCCCACTTGCTTTGTAAAGAGCTTATCAAACCTAGCAGAATGTGAAACTACTGTGCCTGCTGGATTTTACAACCCAGCATAGTTCTCAGCCTACCATATCCTAAACAGAAGAGAGTGGATCCTTCTGCAGTCTTCCAGAGTCGGAGGGAGAATCATTGGATATGGTATTGCCAGGGAGGACAGGGTTGGGAAATTAATGATTCTTGAGCTGATAGTGTCACAGTGTAACTTCCCAGCATCCCTGAGACAGGAGAATATCTTAAGGGAGACTGTGATACCTAGGGCACAAAAAAGTCATGCATATCCCTAGGGAAGCTATCAAAATGGCTCCTGGCAGGAGCTGGCAGCATTTTTCCTGTGATACTGGCCCTTGGAGCCATGTGCTGTAGGTGTGGGCAGCATTCATCTGCTGCAGCATGTGTGACAGTCAGTTATTCACAGTCCACCTGGGCAGCCTGTGCTGCCACCAAAACCAAAGAGCTGGGCAGAGCTGCGGAGAGACAGCTGGGAAATGGCTGTATGTCACCTCCCCTGACATTTTGCTTTCAAATGTCAGTGTGTGCCTGTGCAAACCTTGTCCTCCCACAGCAGCATCTGCAGCAGTGTGAGGTGTGCGCTACTTGGCAGGGCTGGGCAGCAGATGGGTGCTGGTGCTCTAAGCAGCCATTTCCCAGAGGCAGTAGAGATGTGCTTTAGCAATGAAGCGTTTGGTTGTCACCGTTTGTATCCAAAAATGATGCTTTTCAAGCTGTTGCATTGTGGCGACACTCAGAACACAGCAAAACATTATGGGAAGACATGATCTAAGTGTTACAACCATCTACCAGGGTAGTAACAAGGGAAGGAGAGGCTTGAATGAGCAAATAAGCACTGCAGAACCAGAGCTAGCTTTTCCCACAGTGCTGGGGGATAAGTGAGGACTTGTGCTACTATGTGCACCATCAGTGATGCACAAAGTTCAAAATGGGGCAGAAACACAGCCCTAGCTGTTGAACACCATTTTCAGCATGTTTGCGTTAGGCGTAGAGCCAGCAGCTGTTGTTACCAATAGTGGTTCTTGAACAATGTGATCGTGGGAATCCCTAACGTGCAAAATCTCCTCTCAGGAACCAGATGGAGAACATACTCATTCCTTTCAGTCAATATGGCAGAGACTGTGGGAAAGGAACAGGGACTTGTGAGACAGAGGAGTCAGTGAATGGGGAGGGAAGGGTGTTATAAGCACCAAGAAGTCTACTGGCAGGGCTGGTTTAGGGTCGCCTGGTAGTTCCCTGGATGTGGTCCAGGTGACTTTTCTTTTTCAGAGCCTAATTCTAGGTGAATCATTTGCCCCACACATGGATTTCTGGTAGAGTCTAGCCTGATCCACAAGGCTTGTCAGCTCACTAACATCACTGTTAGTATCAACTTTTACATCAATGGATGTTTGCTGTAAACACTAGGTCTGTTTCCATCTTTCTGTTGTTTTTTTTTTTCTTCTGCCAAAACATCCTGTATCTGTTAGAATCACTATTATGCGTGGGAGAAAGTACTTCGTTTGATCAGCTTTATTTTAGCATCTTTTAATTGCTATTCTTGTGCCATGAAGCTGAAAGAACTGAAGCTCTTGATCATTCTGTGGAGCTGTCTCACTGCTTGCAGTGTTCTGATTTCATTTATCCCACATTTCTTAATTTCCTCTCTGCACTCCTATATTCCTTTGCAGCTCTGTTCCAAATCCATTATCATTTCCTAGTCATGAACACTGGGTTTATGTAGATAAAGACTCAAATACTGTTACTGTCACTTTGAAGCCTAACAGTGATGGCAGCAGACCTAGGGTTCTGGTGACCAGAGATTGCAGTGTGCAGTGCCAGGATGCTGCGAGCACTGAGGATGCCTGGATGGAATATGGGATTTGAATTGCTGACCAAGGCTGTTCAGGCCAGGGTCTCCAAAACAAGGGCTGATGTGTGAGACCCTTAATTTAGTTTTCCATCCCTCAGGATCACCCCGGGTCAGTGGGTTTTTTTGAGGTTTCTCCCTCCCCACGGTGCCTTAGCTGCCCTTCCCTGATCTTCTCTGCATTGGTTTCTCTGAAATGTAGAGGGGAAGGCAAAAAGGAAAACACTCTCCAGACTGCCCTGAAAGCTCTTGCTGTTTGGTCCTCAAGGACAGCTGGGGAAAGAGAAGTGAATATGTTCCCTGCTCTCCTATGTCTCATGCTGATGAACATCCTCTTCTAGCTTTATGACAGACTGCTATTTACTGAACATGAGGTGTTGGCCTCTTAGTGTCCTGGTTGCGTGAATCCTGTGCATTGTAACAGCAGTCCTGTTGTGAAATACATTAAATAACTGAATGAGGAGGTAGGTGTTAGGTTTTCCTGTGCATGTGCAATGAGCGCCCTCAGCATTGAGAGTTTCCTTTGACCCAAAGCCTGTGCAGTTCTTTGGCCACTTGAGTGAAGTAAGTTACCTCAGAGAAGTTTGAGAAGTGTCAGCTGGAAGCACAGGTGTTGTCCCAGGAGACTGGAGGGAAAGGAGCATTTTTGTCTGGTCTTGTAATGCTTTCCCTGAGGAAGGGTTGCTCGGAACCTTATGCTGGGATGTTTGTACTGACGAGGAACACCATTTAGATCATGAAGTCTTTGGTCAAACAAGGGAGGCTTCAAATATTCACTGCCTTAATTGAGAAGTGACTTCCTTTGCATTTCTGTCTCTCTCTAGGTATCTGAATTCCCTCATGAGAAGTGTCCTACCAGTCTCTCATGTGCAGCCGCACTGGTCCATGGGTAGCAACAGTTTAACTGATGTCCTGAAGAGCATTCCTCACCATGGATAGTCCACCAAAGCTGACTGGCGAGACACTGATTGTCCATCACATTCCTCTTGTGCATTGCCAGGTCCCGGATAGACAGTGCTGCTCCGTGAACAAAAGGACCAACCCCTTCTGTCAGCCAGATCTTGGCATTACACGCACCTCTACTCTTCCAGAAAGAGACCTTTCACAGACCGACTCCTTGGTGTACAGCAGCTTTCTCCAGGCCTCTGAATCCTCAGCAGAAGCCTCAGACAACAAAGAAGGCAAAGTAAGGGAGTTGGTCGTCCCTAGTGCCAGTAAGCGACACAACCCTTTCTTACTGACCGAGGGTGAAGATCTCAGCATCTTTGGGGATGACTTGGGTCAAAAGTCTTTCCACCTTCACAACTCCCTTGTGGGTGGCAAACCTCCCTTTCACCTGCATGAGCTGGCGTTGCCCCCTTTCCACCTCCATGACTCCAACCACATTGTGAAATCCTGGAACATGGCAAGCCGATCCGGTGTAGTCGATGGGCAAGAGGACAAAGTCAGCAGTGATGACATCCAGAAGAGGAACAATGCGAACCGATGCCACCAGGCCACAGAACGCATGGAACTGGATGAATGCAGCTGCAATCGTGGCAGCTCCTCCAGCTTCTCCTTCGATGGTGGTGACCAGGAGTGGAATCAAAATACAGGTGAATCACTGAGGAATCATGATGCCTTGCATAGCCGGACGTGCAGCTGTTCCAGCTCAGAGCTCCAGCACTGTCGCTGCTACAGTTCATCAAGTCAGTCTGAAGTGATTGACCAGCAGATGGGCTACATCAGTGACTCTTCCTGCAACAGCTCTGATGGGGTTCTGGTGAACTTCAGTGCTCTCTACAATAAGATGAATGGCCATTCTCGATCTAACCTGAATTCAGCCAACCTGTCCTGTGACTCTTCCTTCTGCAGCCACTCAGACACAGGAGCTTTTTACTTGGATTTGCATTCATCACCCACAGAATCCAAGATGTCTTGTGAGTCACATCACCCGGAGAGTTTAGGGAAGACATGTGAGTGTCACCGTTCTTCCTCACCTGTTCTTGATGCTAACTGCAACTCCTATCACCTCCACTGTGAGCCTTGCACTTCAGAGAGCTCAGACCTCACTGCCTGCTTCCAGAGCCAAGCACGGCTTGTTGTGGCTACTCAGAATTATTATAAGCTAGTCACATGTGACTTGTCTTCCCAGTCATCTCCCAGCCCTGCAGGATCTTCCATAACTAGTTGCTCAGAAGACCAGACCAAAGGTAGCCCAGCTCAGCCCACTGAATACTATCTTTTTAGAAGGCCTGACCTAAGAGAAGAAGAAGGCAATGTGGAGTGCAGTGAAGAGGAGACAAAGGGAGAAACCACAGAGAACATGATTGAGGGTCAGGTCTATGTGAACGTATCACCACCTAACCTCAACACAAGCCGGCAGCGCTCCAGAAGCTATGATCAGAACCTGGACAGGAGTCCTGGCAACAGGCTGGGGTCTTTGGAGCGTATGGTGAGCTGTCCAGTTAAGTTGAGTGAAAGTCCAGCAATACCCATTCAGAGTTCCCCACCAAAGCGAGTGACGTCTTTTGCTGAACTTGCTAAAGGCAGGAAAAAGAACACCACCTCGCCACCACTTCGGTGCAGTGGAGATTCCTCCTTGGAGTTCTCCCCCATCCCTGAGACACAGCGGGACTGCCCAACCTTCCTTGAAGAAAGAGCTCACCGCAGCCAGAGTCTTCCACCTATGCCCTTCATCCACGGCCTGAACCGAAGCTGCGAGGGCTTCTGTTTGAATCACCCTTTTGGGGACAGACAGGCTTTGTGTTCCACCAAAGACTCAGGACCCAATGAGACCGTCCCCAGTGGGCATGGGGCAGGTGAGCAAGCATCTCTCACCCTGCTGACGGAGGCAGATGCCAACTTCTCAGGTAGTTCTACCAGTGGCCATGGACAAAGAGATGTTAGAGCTCGAGCAGACGGTAAGGAGGCAAACTAGACAGAATGGAGAAGTAAAAAAAAAAAAAAAAAAGACTACTCTTTGGGACTAGAGGGAAGCAGCATGGTAGTGGGAGACCAGAGTCTGTGCAGTTTCTTTCCAAGACTGTTAGTCTCTGGGACAAAGTTCTGATGTGCTTATTTCAGACCCAGATCAGTGCATGTAACTTGTCCTTGTGTTTCTTTAGAAAATTGAGGTTTTATGCAAACTTGTAATATCATGTAAGGGAGGAAATTACATTAGCACTTAGGGAGTGTGCAGCTTGGAGGTTTATCTCATTCTAACTTCTTTCTAGGGCATGGTACTCCTTCAGTCCATGACCTCCCCTTACCTCCCAAGACAGAGATTCACAGATACTTGGCAGAGCCAAGTTCTAAGGAGACAAAGCAAAAGGAAACCACTGAGTACTTTTTCAGTCTTTCTTTTTTGAATCTGTTTGAGATAGAGCTGAGGAGGGAAATGGCACAGCCGATTATCTCCTCTTGGTGTGTGGCTCAGAGAGTTTGCACAGTTTCTGCCAGCACTTACAGTATGAGCCCTAAAGGGATTAGAGAATCTATGTGTCTTTGCCTGGAGCGTTCTGGCTATATCTCACAGTATGTAGAACTGCAGCAGAGGTTCTTCTGGAAGGGCACATGACTGTTGCCAGGGTAGTTTTCCCTGCACCTTCCGTGGAAAGCCTGTAGTACCTGATTTGCTTTTCATGTTGATCTTGACGTTACGTGTCCTAGTGAGAAAGCTGTGTAACAGTTCCGTAAGTGGTTAAGGTACGGCCATTTCTCCAGCATGGCAGGAGTCCTCTCTCTCTGCTCTAGGCAGTTATTGTATTTGTTTCACAAGTAAAAGCCAATCCAAAATGGATCTCTGACTAGGCTGCTGCAATAAATAGCCTCTGATATGCCAAGGATGTGCCATTTGATGCACTGCAAACTTCTAGCAGGAGACTGAAAGAGCACTCGAGTGCACGTCTGAAAGAGATTTTGACCTTTGGAGCAAGTTTTTTTTTTTTTTTTTGTCATTATCCTGAGTTGTTTTTTTTAGCTTGCACTTAGTGCAGGATGGCAGAGAAGGCAAATCTCTGCTGAGAGAAGGCAGCCATGGGAGCAGCTGAGTTGCAGAGAGAATGCTTGGACGGAGCAGGAGCTACTTAGGCAGTGGGAGGAACAGGCAAGCAGAAGCTCTCAGAGCAGTATATCCTACATCCCTGGCTGCACTATGCTCCTGTGCACCAAAACAGCAAGGCTGTAATTAGAGCTGTGCTGAGAACTCCTGCCAGCAGTTGGAGAAGAGCTACCTCACTCCAGCTCAAAGCAGCATGCAAACCTCGATGGTCTGATAAGGAACCAGAGAGAAAGCAAGCCCTGCTAAATGCTAGCTGTAGGGAAGGAGGGCAAGCACACCCCAAGGAGAGCAGGGAATGCTTGGATTAACATCTGTGGTGCTCATAATACTTGTGGCAGGTTGGGTGAGTTCCCAGCACTTGTGAGAGGAAGCAGTCCTTTAATATATAAAATTCTGTTGTACTGCAGTGCATTGGGCTCTGTCTTTGGGGGCAGGTGTCTGAGGCCATGACTTCTGCTGTTTTGGGATGAAGGAATGTGGAAAAGGTGGGAAGCTGGACTAGGAGAGAGAAACCCTCAGTACAGCACCTTACTCTTCAAGACAGCTGTCAACAGCTGGAAAACTTTATTTGGAGTCACATCGTCACCATGCCACCTTTATGTGTGTAACTGGTTCAGACTTGAACCACACATTTTTTGGCACTGGTCTCTAGCTCATCCTCTTCCTCCGGTAGCTGAGAGCTTGTTCTCTTTTTCCAGTGATCCACCATATTCATGATGACTGTCACTTTGCCTGCCCTCACATACTGTCCTCTTTTCTCTCCCTAAAGGTGGAGGCACAGACAGCAAGCCTGTGGTACGCTACAGCAAGGACCAGCGTCCCACAACACTGCCCATCCAGCCTTTCGTTTTCCAGCACCATTTCAGCAAACCACCCAAGGCCCGTGCTCTGCACAGCCATTTTGCCTCCAGTCTTTCCCAACTTTACAACTTATCCAGCAACCGACCTGCAAGCCAGCAGATCTCCTCCAGTTCCCAGAACTCTGCCGCCCTGGGAGAGCAGTCGGCAGTGGCTGGGGGTCAAGCCCATGGCATGCTTCTGACCCAGCGTTCAGCAGATGGAGCTGCCTCTCTTAATGATGGCTGCATCAAGAAGACGGCCCCTGAGACAACCCGGCCATCCCCGCTGGGCAGTTACTCTCCTGTGCGATGCAACGTGCCTTTCTTTCAGAGCATGGACTCCTCTTCCTCGCCCACCACTGAGCGAGCTGGAGAAAGCCAGCCTCCCAGGAGCAGGTCCTGCCCCATCTCTGCCAGCCTGCTTCCCACCAGGTCTTCCCCTGCTGTCAGTGCCATGCAGCCCACTCAAGTCACCAAAGTTGATGCCCTGAGGCAAAATGAGAAGCCCAGGCCTGTTCCCAAGAAAGAGGCAGCTCTGGAGCCAAGCCCACCGTTCTCTGAGTACCGACTCCACAGCAGGTCCCTCCTGCCCCTTTCTCTGAGTAGCGTGCCGATGAGCCGAGTGGGAGCCCAGGCAGATCCCCACTGGAGGCGTGGCAGTGAGACCAGCAATTCTGGTCCACTGAGCAGCATGGGAGGACGGCCCCTCAATGGTAGGTACCCACCCACTGGTATGTGCTGGTGGAGAACATCTCCAGTTCCCTGATGATGGATGCTCACCGTAACACTACCCTTCCTGTAGCCACAACCTGGCCCAAAATTGAGACTGGGTGCTGTGGCACCCAATAGCTCCCCTCATCACTCTGCCCATGTGCTAATAGTGTGTTCCTTCAGTCCTGCCTCCTACACAGTGTTTCCAGAGGGGATGCTGATCCTCACATTCCCCATGCCAAGTGCTGGCATGCTGAATCTGCCCTCCCTGTGCCTACAGCCACCAGGTTACTCAGGCTCCTGCCATATTGTGCCTGGCCATGGCCTCCACCTCCCTCTGTATATATGTGCTAATGTCCTGAAATGCCACTGGACTTCAACTAACTTGCTGTCTATCTTTCTCTGTTTTTCTTCCTTCTCATCCTTCTCTCCCTGTTTGCCCTCCACATCCTCCTGTCTGCTCATGTCCTTCCATCTGGTGCACGCTGCCTGCGGCATTGTAGCGAACCACCTCTCCCCTCAAGCACTGAAGTGGCGAGAGTACAGGCGGAGGAATCCCCTGGGCCTGGACCGTGTTTCAGGGCTGCCCAGCTTAGCCAGCAGCCTAGACAGGAAGCAGCAAGAGCCCCGGCTGAACCGAGGGAATCCCATCTTTGAGTTCCCTGGCACTCTCAACACCAGCCATTTCCACTGCAAGCTGAATGGTGCGCACTGCCCTTCTGCTGTTGGGTCTGGGGGTGACCTCAGGGTTGAGGTTCAGTGTCCCAGCTATGCCTGGCCTCATCACCAATCTGCATGCATCACCAATCATGCATGCATGAGAAGTAGTGTTGATGCATCTACTTGCACTAGGGCTGTAGTGTACAAGAGGAAGGTGAAAATTGCTTACTGGTGGGTACAACTCCTGGAGCCTTTCTTCTTCTCCATGAGCTGAGAGCAGTAAGGTCTGGCTCTGGGCTGGACTGAAGGGATAGTTCAGACCTCAGCAAGTGCTCCAGGGCTGTTTCCAGCTTATAGTTCTTGTCTCACACTACAGTTGTGGCCCTTAAAGATCTTGTGTCTGTGCCCTGCAATGTCTGCTCATCTGCATCAGTCACATCAGCATGCTAGATGCTGGGCTCTAGCTCTCATGGAGCAGCTTGTTCATGCTTTGCCATGAAGGTCTTCCCTGTTCTCCAAAAACAGTATAAGAAAGACAGAGGGGAGTGAGCTGCTTTTGGTTGATGCTTTAAGAGTCCTCCAGGAGAAGCAGTAGGGTTATGTGAGAGGGAGAGTATTCTCATGGTCAGCTCCAGAGCTCTACACCTCCCTCTGCCAACCCAAACAGCTTCTCCACCCCTCTGTTGTGGGAGAATGCCTGACATGGACCTGAGGAAACAGTCTGTAGAAAAATAAAGCATTATGAAAGAGCATTCACAGAAGTCTCCCCTTGAAAACAGTCCCTCCAAGGGGTTAAACAGAAGGTGTGTTGTTTATTGCCTGTGAATGCCTATGTCCCACATAGGGATTCTCTGTGTGCTCCTTCTCATCATCTTACATCCCTGCTGCAGCTAGCTGCACTGCAGCCCTGAGTATGGTATGCTGAGATTTTCTTTAGCACACCCTTAAGGGTGAACATCCCTCAGCATCTTCCAGTGCCCACAGATCCCCAACCAAGCTGGAGCTACATGCTGGGTCAGTTGTGGGGTTCAGCTGTGGGGCTGAACATGTATATTGTTTCCGGGGGAGTAACAAACCTGTAGCCTTGCTGGTCCAGTCTTGGTCAGACACGTGGGAAGACTCCTCCTGCAGCTTGCTTCTGGGAAAAGCAAACTATATGGGAGAGGCTTTGGTATAAGGGCTTGTATTTAACTCTTTTTTTCCCCCCTGTCTTGGTCATGCAGGACAGTCTATGAAGCAACTCCAACTTACCTACACTGACTTCTTCCCTGACTACTTCTCACTAGCTGAGAAACCCCCTGCTGAGTTCTGTCTCTCCCCAGATGGCAACACAGAGTCCATCTCTATCGACTTGCTGCAGAAGAAGGGTGAGTCCGTGTGTCTCTTGTGGCAGTGGAGAATGGAGTGTAGCATAGCATAAGGTGAACAGTGCTTCTCTCTGTCTCTGTAGGCATAATGATTTCTTTCCTCCCCTCTTCTGCTGTAGAGTCATAACTAGACGTTCCCCTGAACAGCCAGCACATGTTCATTTTCCTTTGCACCACACCATATGCTGAAAAATACGTTCCATCTACTTGTTCCAGGAAGTATGACGAGAAGAAACCACAAGAGAGTGTAAAGAGAGCAGGCTGGCAGAGGAGCATGAACCTATGGCACAGCATGCTGCTATCCCATTTCAGTATACAAGCATAGATCTGTGGATCTGTGTGGTGTTGCAGATGGGCTAGCCTGAGTTTTAGTCATTTAGGTCTTTTGGGTCTATACGGTGAATATAGTGTATATAACAGGGTGGGCAAAAGGATTTCAAAGTAGGCCAAGATGTGATGACTGCTGACAGCTGTCTCTGTGTCTTGTCAGAAACAGGGGACATGCAGAAAGGTTCCTGTGCCTTTACCAGTTATGTGTTGGTGACTGCTACATGGCAGTTTCTGCCCTATCCCACTACTATTCTTGCATGGTCTGGAAATGCTGTATCTAATGCCCGATTTCTTTGTCTAGTGTTTGGTCTGAGTCTGTCCTAAAAGCAGCTCTGACTCTTTATTTCCCTCTAGGTCTGGTGAAGGCAATCAACACTGCTGTTGACCTGATTGTGGCTCACTTTGGAACCAGCAGGGATCCAGGGGTGAAGGTAAGTCTTGTTTTTCTTATGGCTTTTTTACCATCGTAAGTGATAGGGAGAGGATGGAAAAAGACTGTGTCTCCATTCTCTTCTAGTTCAAAAATTAAGGGGCAAAAGATAAAGCTAGTGGAAACAACAAAACAAAAGCAGTTGATGGTGCATCATGCAGCAGACAGTAAATGTGTGACAGTTCTTGCTCCATGATGTTGAGGATGCTAATGCTACACATGTTTAAGGGAAGATTGGAGAAATGAAGGGAAAGGAAATTTGCTGATGTCTATTAAACACATAGGAATCATGTCTGCCCTAGGTAGTTCCTGAGTTGTAATTAGCTGTAATCAAGGAGAGCATTAGCATTACTCTTCTGAGAGTGTCTTTTGTTGTGCGGTTCAACCCAGCAGGCAGCTAAGTACCACACAATTGTTCACTCACTCCCCTCTCCCATTGGGATGAGAGAGAACTGGGGGGAAAAAAATGAAAAAAATCCACAAAGTAGAACATATGGGTTGAGATAAAATATAACTACTGCTTTTTAGTAAGGCAGAAAAGGAAGAGAAATGGAAAATAATAATATTAATTGAAATTAAGTATACATTTACAAAACAGGTGATGCACAGTGCAACTGCTCATCACCTCCTGACTAATGCCTACCTAGTTCCTGAACAACAGCTGTCAGTCCCCATCAGTTTTGAAATTTATTTGCATGATGTCATGTAGTATGAAATATCCCTTTAGCCAGTTCAGGTCAGATGTCCTGGTTCTGTCCCCTCACAGTTACTTCCTCAGTCCCTTCGCTGGCAGGACAGTACAAGAAGCTGAAAGATCCTTAGCTCTGTGCAGCACTGCTCAGCAACAACCAAAACATCAGTGTGTTATCAACACTGATTTTCTCCCAAAGCCAAAACACAGCATCATACCAGATGCTTTGAAGAAAAAAAACCCAAAGCTCTGTCACAGCTGAAATCAGGACACTTATGTAATTACTTATGGTCCTTAAGGAGAGAGAATACCAAGCTATCTGGACTTATGGTATGATGAAGTACCCCAGCTCTTTTTTCTCATACAGTGGGGAGTTATGTCTCCCTATTCCATCCTTCCTCTGATTCTGTTCTGACATCTGTAGCAGAGCATAACACAGTGTCTCCAGTCCCTTGATGTGTGACTGGGCTTCATAATAATAAAAAAATGTATCAGTCATTGCCCATCTAGGGCAGATGGTCTTTTCCTAAGGCCATTACCACAAACCCACTAACATCAGAATGTATCTAGGTTGCCCATGGGACTGACTGTCTTTGCTTGTGTCTCTCTCACCTCCCATTTCTGGAATAACACGGGCAGAATGAAGTTGCTTGTTTGTCCCAAAAATGTTTTCTGTCCTGTGATACTCAGCATTGTTTGTGCAGCTTCCTCTCAAAGCAGAATAGTCTCCTTCAGTTGCAGCAGTGTGACTCTTTGGAGATGACAGCTGCCCTGGAGTGCCAACCCCACAGAGAAACTTCACTAGAACAGGTTCCAAGCTCATTCAGTCTTATCACAGAGCCCAGGGTAATTGGCCCCTCATTACAATGTTGCTGATGCAGGGATTGCTGTGATATGTAAGTGGAGCTGGTTAAATTTCCAATTTTTGAAAACTTTGCTGTGTTTTTCCTGTACTTGCTGTGTTGGTTTGGGGAATAACGGCAATATTGACCCATTACTTTACCTGCTGGACAGCACTGTGGTTTTGATCTGAGTTTTCCTTATTCATCAGTGTGCCAAAGGCTGAGCATTCACCTGTCAAAAGGCAGCACACATCGCTGATGCTCTGATGCTCAGTGGATCTGGCAGGATTATTCCTGACGAAGAAGTTCAGTTTGAGTTCAGGACCTTTGTGGACCCATGCCAGCTGGACAGTGTAATTCCAGCTCAGCTGGTAAAATCTGTGCCCTGAACACAACTGCCTGGGACCACCAATATGTGCAAGGTCCAGGGCTGACGTCTTTGGCTTGACCTTTGGCAGCTAAAGGATTGCATGCAGCAGAATATATCCCCATTCTGCTGAAGCTTGGCTTTTAGATGCTTCTTCACCTCATCTTGGGCTCTGTCCAGCTCTTTTGCCCTCACTCTGTTTATTTATAGTAATCCTCAGGAATCAACTTGTCACTGTTAAGTGTTCCTTAACCCCTCAGTGCTGGAAGTTTGCTACTTCCTACTTCTAAAATAGCAACGTGAAAATCTTCTTTGGCAGCAGAAAAATCCCCATCTCTTTCCTTCCTCCAGCTGTAGCCTTGTTAGACCCGTGGGGAGAACTAGGCATCCCATCTGACAGGAACATCCTCTTTCCAAGCTTTTCCCAAGCTGTTGCCTCATTCCAGCCTCAGGTAGACCTTGCAGAGAGTAAACCAGAATTAGTGTCTGAGGCAGCAGGGGTGAAGGGAGAGCTCCTGTTCAAGGAGCTGCTGAACTTCTTCATGGCCTGGATATTGCCTCCTGGGTGTCTGTAATCGACAGGTGGGTGTGTGGACTGTTTGCATATGTTTTACCATGCAGAGCAATTACCAGCCCTCTCTTTATTGTCTCTTCTCCCTTAGGCTAAACTTGGGAACAGCTCTGTGAGCCCCAACGTGGGGCATCTCATACTGAAATACCTGTGTCCAGCTGTCCGGGACATCCTGAGTGATGGGCTCAAGGCCTACGTCCTGGACATGATCATTGGCCAGAGGAGGAACATACCCTGGAGCGTGGTGGAAGCATCCACCCAACTAGGTAAAAAAAAAAAAAAAATGGACAAAACAAAAAAAGAATTTCCTTTCTGGGGAAAGGAGGTTGAGTTTCCAGGTTGTTTCTGTACCTTCATCTTTAGCCCTGCACAGCTACATGTATAAAAGGCAGAGCTGAGCAATGTGTAAGAAAAGGTGCACACACTATTTGTTGCTCTCAGGTATGCCCATGACACCCACACCCTCTGCTAGTATCAGTCTGCAACCTGGATTTTGACCCATCTCCTGTGTAGAGCTGGGATGTTGGAATGGAGTGAACTTATCCTGATGACTGGGGGAGGGCTGTCAGTCTTGGCCTGAATGCTGCATCTCATGATGCTATTTTGGCTTTGTTGGCCACAACAAATCATAATGTTTCACTTTTTTACTGTAGGCCCCTCTACCAAGTTGCTGCACAGCCTCTATAGCAAGATCAGCCAGTACACGGAGCTCACCAACCACACCATGCGGTTCAATGCGTTCATCTTTGGCCTCCTCAAGTAAGCATACTTCTGGGCTGACTGCATGGCACCTGCTGGCAGCAGGTGCTGCTCTTTGTCTGCAAGCAGGCAGAGTTGCCAATGAAAAGATTTAGGAAACCTGGGAAGCAGCTCTCCAAGGTGTAGATTAGAGAAGTTACAAGCTGTGAGCCTGAGGGAACTCCAAAGAGATTAAAACTTACCCTAACTAGGCCAAGGCTGAGATGGGCTGGCTGTAGCCCACTGAATAACGTTGTCAGCTTGTTCTGGCCCCAAAAGGTTAGATGCAAAGAGTCTGTCAGGCTTCACATAAGGATAAACATAACGTATGCATAAATTGATCCTGAAAATCCCTGTGTCGCTGCTTCGTGGGGTTGCAGCAAATCCCAGTGCATGACTCTCTGAAAGCCCTGGTACAGGACTCAAGTCTGATCCTTCTAGCCTGGGTGAGGAGTGTAACGTAACACTAAGTTTTAAACACAAAAAGTCAGTGGAGTTCTGTCTCTATGCCTGTGACATGGTAAGCCCTGTCACAGGGTCAGGGTAGTATTTCCTCCCTCGTCTGCAGTGGTAAGAAAGACTTTTGACACTGGCAGCAAAGTCCCTAACATCTCCAAATGTTGGCAGGTCCCTAAGAGCAAGCTTTGCCCTTCTCACCCCACCCAGGCTTGCCCAGCTCTCTTGGTGCAGATCACCAGCATATTTTGGTTCAAGGTTGATGCAGTGATCTCATACTTGTAGTTGGTTTGTCCCTTCTATGTGAATACTTCTCATAAAACTTAACTCTGCCAAAGGCACAGAAACGAAGTGGTGTGGAAACTTGCTGGAAGCCTGGCTGTTAGGTGTTACAGTTGCACAATGTCTCATTGCAAAGCAAATAGAATGTTGACAGGCTGGGTGGTCAGTGTGCACGGATGGAAGTGAGTCATTTCTGTAGTCTTAATGTTCCCAGGGCTATGCTGTGTAAATGCCATTTTCCAGACACACTTCTAGAACAGCAATGATGAAGGGGATGAGTTGAGTTTGCTTTTTTTCTCCTTCCCTGACTGTGTGTTCTTCCTACAGTATCCGGTCATTGGAGTTCTGGTTCAACCACCTCTATAACCATGAAGGTAAGAGGCTGTGCGCTGCAAGAAGAACCAAATTCTGCACATCATGCAGCAGAGATCTAAGCTCTGTGTCATGTTTATCTCCTGCTGGTTTCTCAGCCCGTGCTGCTCCCTCCTGCTCTGAACTGAAGGATTATACAGTATGCAGTTATGGTGCAGATATTGCTGGAGGGCTGCCTAGCTAAAGGAAGGAAGGTGGAAGTCAAAGCTCCATGCAGCTTCCTCCACCTGAGCTGTGGAGAATCTGGTAACTGTGTCCTTCCCTGATGCAGCTGGTACACAGAGCTCACCTCCACTACAGATCGCTTATTCTACTCTCAAGATCAGTCTAGCCCTACCAAGTGCCTGTGTCCCCTGCCCCTGTGCCTGAGAGCTCTGAATAGGGATGGAGCTGCAAGCACTTACCTGAAACCCTTCAAGCATGGGAAATAGAAAGGAAAACCTTCTGTCAAACAAAAAGCAGTTTTTCTTTGAAGTATCTGTTGTCTGGGAGGTGTTTTTGTTTTGGGTTTTATTGTTTTTTTTTCCAACCAGAAGTGTTTCTGAAGTGTGTAGATAACCGACCTGCCTGAAGCCTTAGAAGCAGCATAAGTGCTAAGTGCACAGTGAGGCAGAAACCCTTGACATGCTGAATTCCCTGAGAGTGCTGCTGGTTCACTGCATGCTCAGTCCAGGCATTAACTCCAGTCCAGTATTTTCTGTCAGGTTTGGGGGCTGACAGCAGACATTGTTCAGATCTATGTGTGTACTCAGTGCTTCTCTTTGGATCAGTACTTTCTGTACTGTGTAAGTGTAACAAGAGAAAGTGCTCTGATTTTCTGGAGTGGAATACTACCCTTGCAAATCTTCTGGGTTAGTCTGGTGCAAGCCACATTAAGAGCTGAAGTGTGAGGTAGGGCTGCTAGGTTTCTGAAGGCTAGGCGCAGGGTGTGCAGATAAGCTGCAGATCCTGTCTGCAGTGCACATTTGTCGTCTTGCTGCAAACAAATGTACACAAATCCTGTGCCAGACTCTGTCTCTAGGAATGATGGTTGACAATAAAGCTAGTGGCACAGCAGTGTGGAAGCAGCCAAAAGAAGTATAGGATGACAGCTGCAAATATAAATACTAGTTCATTTTCTGTTAGGATCCACAGCTGAGCACTGCTAGATCCCTGGAAAGGCTGCATTCTGCTGTCCCCAGCACCTCCCTCTATATAGGACACTAGTACTGGCCCACATCTGCAGTTTCTCTTTCAGATCCAGGAGGTGGGAGAAGACAGTCTTAGTGTGCCAACTCTATTTGATGCTTTTTGTTTGCATCCTATGACAGCATGATTGTTCCAGTGGGTCACCTGGCAGGCAGATACTGGCTGCAGGAAGCAGGATCTTAACCAGTTTGCTCCCTGACCCAGTATTGAGTCTCACACTGTAGGCACGGATGTGATCAGAAACCAGCACTCAGTTCCTTTGCTCAATAGCTTCTTGGTGGCTTGGCAAAATCTCAAGGGCCTCTCATCTAATCAGTGTCTCTTGCCCCACAGATATCATCCTGGCGCACTATCAACCGGTTGGCTTCTTATGCCTGTCTCATAATGTGTGCCAGCCTCTTTTTGAGGAGCTCCTGCTCCTACTGCAGCCTCTCTCACTGCTGCCCTTCAACCTGGACCTCCTTTTTGAGCACCACCTGATGCAGATGGGCAAAGAGCAGCAGCAGCAAAAGGAGCTGCTGCGCGTGAAGCAGGACCTGCTGCTTTCTGCACACTCCACCCTGCAGCTGATGAGGACGCGGGGCAGCAGTGAGGATCCCGATGGCTGCAGCACTGCCCCTGAAGCATGCAAAGTGGGTGGCAGAGATGGTGGCACATCACCAGGCCACAGCCCTGAGCGAGCTGCAAGTGAGAGGGTCAAGGGAGTGGGGGCCTCCTGTGGAGATGGGGACAGAGAGGAAGAAAGAAGGAAGGTGCGAGAGAGCATGTGGGAGGGGAAGAAAGACAAGCAGGCGGGCTGGTGGTACCAGCTTATGCAGAGCTCTCAGATTTACATTGAAGGCTCAACTGAAGGCTCGAAGTTCATCCGTTATGAAAAGAAGAAGGCTTTGAGTGGCGTGCCCAGTTCTTCTGAGTCCCACGAGACACCACCCCCGCGTGAAGGGGTAGTGGAGGGAGCAGAAGCGTGCCACATTGCTGAGGGCAGCTTGGAGGAGAAGCCCAAGGCTGCCAGCAGGCCAAGCGCTGAAACTGTGAAAGAGCCACTGGAGAAGCCCCAGCATGTGCCAGGTGGTGAAGAGGTTAAGGAACGGAGCTGGCCCTTCTGGATGGGCAGCCCCCCAGACTCAGTGGTTACAGAGCTGAAGCGCAGCAAGGAGAAAGAGATGGGGACTCAGCTAAAAGTGGGAGCAGCATCAGCCCCCCAAGAAGAGAGCAATGCCAGTGCGTCAGAGGGCAGCCAGCCCATCAAGTGGGGACACTTGTTTGGGTCCAGGAAGGCGCAGAAAGAGCCCAGGCAACCTAACAGGTAGGAACACAGGTAGTTTGGGACTGGAGGGGCTGGTTAAGCTGGAGATGCAGCAGTGTGGTTGGGAGTCAGGCAAATAGCCTGCTGCTGGGCTACACCATGGTGACACATCAAAGGTAGTGTGTGAATAGAGAGATCTGTAACACCTGGTGTGTCTAGAGGTTGCTGGATCTCCTGGAATGGAAAAGGCCTGGGGATTGCAGTGTATGTTGTTTGTGATCCAGATCCCTAAGGCATGACGTTACCATGAGACACTTGCTTCCTCACCACAGCCTGCTTCTGTCTCATCCTTGCAGGTTGCCCTCTGGCTGGCTGAGCCTGGACAAGTCTGTGTTCCAGCTGGTGGCCCAGGTCGGAGCAAGCATGTGGCGAGAAACAGCCCCTGAGCCAGAACCCACCCAGCCAGAGCCTCCTGAAGTGTCATCTGCACCACAGCCAGCCCGGGGACTGTGTGCCAATCCTCCCTGGTGAGTGGTGGCATGTGACTGGGGATGTAATGGGGTGAAGTTGTCATAGGTCTGCCTGTTGTTGCGGAGGGGAGGGAGGCAGGGGGTTATTTCTGACCTCATTGTGGTCCCTGGACTCCAATGGGGTGAGCATGCTGTGAAGATCTCACCCTTCCACCCTTCCTCTTGCCCACAGTGAGGTGAAAGCTCTTTGCCATCACATTGCCACTGAGGAAGGACAGCTGAGCTTCAACAAAGGGGATATCCTGCAGGTCATCTCCAAGGTGGATGGTGACTGGCTGCAGTGCAGTCTCGGCTCCGAGAAGGGACTCGTGCCCATCATGTACGTGACCCACCCGGAGGACGAGGACTATTGACGTGGCTGAGAGGCCAAGCACAGTACCATGGGCTGCTGAGGCTCCTCTGGGGATGCCCAGAGAAGCAAACACAGCTTCTTGCTAGTTTCTTACCTTTCTTGCCATTACAGAATACAGTAACCGTAGGTGGTTCCTTCTTGCTCCTCCTTGTGCAGCTGCCAAAGGCCAAACTGGCCCATGGAGCCTTCTGCAAGCTGTACCTCGTATTGCCAGGCATTGCCATGCATGCAGCCACACCAGGGACCGTTAGAGTCCCCTCCACCCCACGCCATCTCCAGCACCCATAGGTGGTGGGTTTGTATGTAGCAGGAATCAAAACAATCCCTGCCAGAGCAGCACTGGCTCAGTTTCACACTGCAGGGTGCAGGAGAATGGCCCCTCCCAGGGGTGGCCGTGCAGCCTCCAGTACCCCAGTGTTACTGGGGTGGGAGCACCGTGCACTGCCAATGCTGCCCGGCCTCAGCCTTGGGAGGGAAGGGGTGTGCGTGTGTGTGTGCAGAGCAAGGGTGCGTGGGGTTGTGAGGAAGGCACGTGGATGTTCGGTGTGATGTAGGTCCAGGTGAGGTAGTGCCACCCTGTGCAGAGATAGGTGATGTGGGGATGTGCCCTCCATGCTGAGCAGGTCACCTCAGATGCCCTGAGGTGCTCAGTGGAGGGAAGGTGGGAGGGGAGGGAAGGGGGGTGAGGGCAGGGTCCCTGACAGGGCTAGGGATGGGATGCTTTTGGGGTTTGGGGGCCACACTCCCAGCAGGAACAGTGGGGGAGATGGGGATAGGAAATGCTCCCCGTGGTGTGAGTTTGGGGGATAAGTATTGCGCGTGAACACAAGGGGCTGCTGGGAGTCCAGGACTCCTCAGCAGAGGCAATGTCAGTCAGTCCCTGCCTTTCCATGCTCTTGGGGTGGTGTGGGGATCCTCACCTGCCACTGGGTGGGTGACAGTGTTAGCGAAAGTCCGTGCCAGTATTTGGTGCCTTGGCCAGGCGGATGCTGCTCATGGTGTCTTGCCTGGGCTGGCTTCCCCATGGCGAGGGGCCCTGGTCTTGCAAGGTTACCTCCTGCTTGTACATCGCTTAGCGGACGTTGCACCATATTTAATTTGTATTTCCCTGTTAGAACGAGGTGTCTCACCTTTATTTATTTCTTTATTTATGATGCATATTAATTAAAAGGTGCTGATTGAGCTCCCTTGTTTTGCAGCCTCTTTTTTTTTGCAGTCATTTCACCCTGTTTTCAAGAAGGGAATGAGGGGTACCTATGCTTTGTCCTGTCTCCAGCCACAGCCAGCACCTGACCTTCAGAGTAAGATAGAGTGCTCCCCTAGGAGACAGGTCACTGCCTGAGGCCAGCATGCCTTCCTCCTCCTACCTATATACCTCCTTTCTCCTTATTCTGGCAGCATGAGGGATTCAGCTGTGGCTGGTGGGAGCTTCAGCCGTGGGACTGTGGAAGAGCTGGGACTTCTGCTCTTTATATGGCTTCCTTGTGCTCAACCTGCAGCATGGACAGAGAGCATCATAGCTGTAAGAGCAAAGAGAGGGCAGATGGTAACTTCCCTCATGCAGGTTGGGGCCAGCGAGCAGCAGCCTGCAGTGCTGGGAACTGGGGTGTCCCCATGGCTGTGGTGCCCTGTGCTGGGCTGCTCCCTTGAATGGCCATGGCTGGGCAGGGTTATGATGGATTCCCCATGCACAGCATCCTGAGAGCTGAAGCTCATTCCCAGCCCAACACCTTGGGGTCTAGAGTTTGTGCAGGAAGGAAAGCAGCAGCAGAGTCCTGGGGGGATGGGCAAGGGTGGATGGCTGAGAAGGCCTCCCACTGGTGGGTCAGCCTGGACAGGGAGCCATGCACAAAAACACTGACCCAAGAGCAACTGTGTCCTCTGCAGCCAGTGCTTATCCCAGGAAGGAGTCATGGTCTGGGGTCATCAGGATGCAGCTTATCTGTGGGGTTGAGGCTATGGCCACGGCTGGGTCCCTGCTGCTGGGAACAACGCAGCAGCTCCATGGGGTGGCTGCAGGATCCTGGGAAGAGAGGAGGCACCCGATCCCAGCATCCTGTGGGCTGGAATGGTCACAGGGCAGGATTGGCAGTCCCAGTGCTGAGCACACAGCTGCCATGTGGATGTCTTTCATTGGGCCCTTCACAGACTGCCTCAATGTCCCCATTAGTACAACGAGGCCCAGGAGGTTTCTTCTGTGGTAGCATGTCCCATGGGAGGCTGCCACAGCCCAGCACTGCCTTCCCTTTCAACCATGCTTGAGGGGACACATTCACTGCAGGGCAGAGCTGTGAGCATCCTGAAGTCCCCACACAGGGCTCATGTCCGTGAGGGCTGGGACTCCTTGAAAGCACCCTGCAGGGAAGCCTGGGAAGAATATGAGGAGCTGAGCTCTGCTCTCCACTGAGAGCTGCCCAGCAGAGAGCTCTGTACCCCTGACCCTGCATCATCTCAGTGTTTGAACAGTCCAGTGGCTTCTCGCTCAGCTTCAGAAAGGGGAAATGCATGCAGTGAGGAAACTCGGGCAAGATCTCCCTAAAGGAAGCAGCGTGGTCACACGGTGTCCAGCAGCCTACAAAGATGTAGGGCAGCCTTTCTGAGTTCCTGGTAGCAAAAGGCAGAGGGGAGCCAGCAAGACAGTCCGCCAGAGGCTGTTCAAAACAGAGGGTGATCTTCTAAGAGCAGAGGTCACAGACAGGTGGCACAAAATAGCATCAAGCAGGTAGGATGTCAAAGCTCAGTAAGATAATAGAGCAAGGAGCCTGCAGGAGCAGCCAGCAATCCTTTAGCAGACACTCTGAG